TACTAGTAAAAATGGAAGTAGTAGTAGTACTAGTTGTAGTAGTCGTAGTAGTTGTAATTAGCAGTAGTCGTAGTAGTAGCGGCAATAGTAGTAGTAGTAGAAGTAGTAGTAGTTAAGCAGTAATGGTAGGAATGGAGGCGTCGGGTACCCGACACCCGGACCCCGGGTACCCCACGCACGGTTACCTCGTGCATTGCTGTTGTTACTATTAATCAAGCTATTCTTGTATTAGTAATTTGTGAGCTGTAATAGTAGTATTTATGCATGCATGTACCATGTGTTCCTGCGTCGGGTACCCGACGCCTGTTCATTGCAGATGCAATGCCAATAATAGTATGAATATTTTTGTATTAGTAATTTGAGTTGTACTAGTCACAAGTATCTAAGCATGCACTATATATAATGGTGTTGCGTCGGGTACCCGACGACCGGGCGTCGGGTACCCGACGCTTGTGGACATGTTCAAACGCAGCGCCAAAGAAAATAGTAATAGTAGTAATGGTAGTAGAAGTAGTAGTAGTAGTAAAGCTACTACTACCACTTCTACTTCTTTTGCTACTTCTATTACCATTACAGACTATTACCATTTTCTTTGGCGCTGCGTCTGAATGAACATATCCACAGGCGTCGGGTACCCGACGCCCGGTTGTCGGGTACCCGACGCGCGATTACATGGTGGATGCTTAGATACTAGTATTTAATGTGGCTAAGTACGACTGATATTACTATTACATGAGTACTCATAGCATTATTGGCATTGCATCTGCACATTGCAAGAACAAAGCTCACAACCAGCATTAACGACAGTGGTGCACGATGTAACCGTGCGTCGGGTACCCGACGTCGGGGCGTCGGGTACCCGACGCCTGCAGATGCAAGAACAAAGCTAATAGCCAGCGTTAACAACAGCAATGCACGATGTAACCGTGCGTCGGGTACCCGACGTCCTGGGGTCGGGTACCCGACGCCTGCAGATGCAAGAAAAAAGCTAATAACTAATTAACAACAGCAATGCACGATGTAACCGCGCGTCGGGTACCCGACGTCCGGGCTAACTGCTATAATAAGACTATGGTTATTATTATTAAAATGACTATGGCTGCTTATATGGCTATTACTACTATTACTACTATTACTATTACAACTACTACTACTACTACTACTACTACTACTACTACTACCACCAAAACCACCAGTGCGACTACTTGTGCTGGGTGATAAGCAGTCCAGGAAGAGTGATTTATTTGAACGTGACTGGCGCAAGAACAATTCACGGCGATCATTGGCAAAGACGGGACGACAAGCGCATGTCGTTTGACAGGGTGGCTGCAATCTGAAGGAGGAGTTGTGACTTGCGAGTACGAACGTATTGTGTGCTAGGTTTTTTTCCGGTAGTACCCTAATATAATTTCAGTTGCCGAGTTGGAACCATGCACATCCTTTGCAGTCCTCTCAGCTAGCGTGGAGCGTATGTCCATGCAGACATATTCGCACAGCCAGTTTGCGTTGATTTGATTCGCCATGAGCGTTCGTCTTGGCACTCACACCCACGAAGCATCTCAGCACGTCGTTGTGTAGTGACTACTGTTCTTTTAAAACATGTGCCTGAGTTTGTGCGCCAAGGTGAGACCTGGGATTTGCTGGAGATCTTTTTGACAGGCGGTCTGCAGATTTTGTTGCTGAGAAAGTTTTGCTGGCTCTGTCTGTCTGCGAGTGGCACTCCTTGAGCGTGACTGTCGCTTGTGGTCAGTGCCAGTAGCCGTCCCAGTGGCTTAAATTATATGCCATGTCACAATGTTGTGGGAGAGCCGTGTAGTAGAGTGAGTCAGCAATGATGTGCAGTGACTTGTTTAAAAGAAACTTCACTGTGTGCCCGCAGAAAGTGCCTCTTCGGCAGTGCAATGGGCAAGGGGGGGCACAGGCCAAAGCCAAGGCTCAGGCCAAGGCTAAAGTCAAAGGCAAAGCTCGTCATCGTCACAGACAAAAGGCCGACTATGAAAAGAAGAATCGAAAGGATTGCTGCCGACCACGTGTGCATCTTCCACCAGGCAGGGCTCAGGGCCTATTGTCTTGCAATGCTTTGATTCATTGTTGTGCCAGGCACCTTCCTCATCTTGCCGTTAAAGGAGCCAGAGGTGGAAATCAAGAGTGAGAAGGGCGTGTCTGTGAAGAGAGAGCCGGGGGTGACTCCGACAGTCAAGAAAGAACCAGGCGTGAAGAGAGAAGCGGCCATGCCTGTGACTGCGAAGAGTCTAGTCTAAGAGAGCTTAGAGTGCCTGGAACAGGTTATGAAACCGATCTGCGTCGAATGGCATCGGATGGCAACATAATCATGGACGTCGAGGATCACCCGTGGGTTCAAGAAATTTTGAAAAAGCGACTTGTCTAAGGCTTGAGAGTTACGGGATTTAGGCTTCATTGTCGAGGGTGAAATGTGCTGCGGTTGCCTCCGCTACTTGGGTGTTTTTGCAGCCTAGGCTCAGACGTCTACGTTCAGCTTACGAAGACCTGGAACGATCCTATCGGGAACAGAACGACTACGTCCGAGAGTGCATGACAGTGTCTGCTTCCAGTGGCAATTGGTCCCTGACAATGGCCAGGAAGCCGCCTTTTACGAAGGATGGGCCATGTTATACACGTAAAGACAGAAGCCTGTGAGGGAGTGCTTTTGCCATTCGCGCACACTCACACACCGTCAGGAGCCCATGGACCTGAAGGATTTCGATGTGACTGTGAACGACGACAACTCTGGTCAAGAGCGTAACAGCTGAGTTCTATTTCTTGTGAGACATGGACCATCAGGCGGTAGTGTCTTACTGGGGCAGGTCCATTTCTGTCAGTGTCTGTGGATGCGGGCACGACTGTGGACGCGACGACTGCTAACTCACAGAAAAAAGGAATCAGGTGTGCTGCGCGATATGGTCTGTGTTGCTTCCATCTTGAGCACATCTCTCAATTTGATAACGTGCATGTCTGGGCCTGTGTCGTTTTCAAGCAACCAGCTTAGTGATTGGTGTGTTTTCCGCGTCGTTGTCCGTGACCTCGGTGTCTTTGCCTTCATCATGGTCCTCGTCGGTTACCTCGTGGGCCATGCTCGCACTTGTTCGGGAAGCTTCTATGAGACAGTGGAGGAGGCCCTAGCCAAGTCCGTGCGTGCGGAAGCGCGGCAGCTGCTGGGTCTGTACTGTCTTTTGTGTTTTTTGGCTGCGTCTTCATTGACTGATACTTTCGTGCCTCAGGTTGGGCTTCAAACTTTCCGACGGAGTTCCCATGAGTGCCAAAGTTCACAGACAACAGCAGTGGAAACGTGCCAGTGCCTTGCTGAGTGCCCGTGCCTTTGGGTGTGTCGTCGTACACTGTTCTGATCCGCAACAGGCAGTTCAAAACAAGGAGCTCAGTCTCGGCAAAGACTGCGGGGGCTCACCAGGCAGCTTCTTCCGGACGTTGAAGCCGCTGGATGACCTGAGCAAGGTGGCCTACTTCAATATCGAGCTCTTCACCACTTCTGTGGGAGTGGCCGAAGTGGCTGTGGAACGTTCCTTGCTCGCTCACTAAATCGTTCAGCACTTGTCCGTGTGTTTTTTTGGTGTGCATGTGGGTATTGTTCTGAGGTGCCTGGAACTTCTATCAGCATGTGGATCCCACGGATCAGAACATGGCATGTCACATGATCCTGAAGAACTCGGTGCTTACAAAGACAGGCTATCAACCGAAGGACACCTTGCTGACTGATCTGATCGACAGAGACTGGATCTGCATCCACTCTGAATTTCCCAGGACATGTACTATTCCACCCAACGCGCGGCAGCTCTCGTGGGTTTCGTGCTTGCAGATGGCAAGTCGACCGAGCCACCTGGCTTCTCCTGAAGTTTCACCTCAGAAGTGTTAAAGGATCCGTAATGGCAAATGCTTTCTCTGCAGGCTGCGAGTCCACCACTTCAATGCACCAACCTTGCCTAGTGGCATGGTGCATGTCGACACTTTCACAAGCCCGATTGCGGCTCCTTGACATGAGCTTTTAATTGTTCAGTTTTCTGTTGTACTTAGGGCTGCTACGTGACTGAAACCAAGGACTTTTGGCATCAGAGCTCACCTGTGCCTGATGTTCTACAGCCCAACGAGATTGTGGTCAAGGTGGAGATCCACGTGTCTGAGAAAGAAGATTTTGCTCAGTGGCTGACCAAGAAGCGTGTCTTGAACATGGAGGAGACCGTGCAGAGCTTGAACCACCGACTGGACATGCTGGACTGCGAAAGGGAACAAATCATGAACGAAAAGGAGGAGATCGAAAGGGATTTGGAACGCAAGCGGGCTAGGATTGCGGCGGCAGATTCAGTGGCTTCCCCAGCGCTTGCCCCCCCAGTGACTGCTCCAGTGTCGAAGAACAGTGCCTCACGTGAGAGTGGCTCCAAAGACGATAAGCTGGAAGCGGATGACAAACCTTCCGAAACCCAAGTCGTGTCTCAGTAATTCTATTTACTCGAGTCTCTGAGTCATTGGGCCCTTTGTGCTTGTGCTTAGACTGACAGTGACAGAGTCATTGGGCTCATCGAAAGGTGCTCGGTTTTGAACGGTTTGCTGGCTACTCACTTTCATCAGCAGTGTATTCAGCTAGTCATTTGTCACTGACAGGTGCTGAGTCATTGGACCCATTGTGATTTTGGAATTGTTCGCTGGCTATGAGCAGTGCATTCAGTTATATAGTCATTTGTGACTGACAGGCGCTTGCTCTTTTTAATTTCTCAGTCCAGCCACCCGACAAGCTGCTGCTGCGTCAGAAAAAACTGTCAGCCCTTGTACTTATTTTGTCATTTTTATGCCGGCAGTGTTATGGATGGCAATGTTCATGTTTTGTATCGGTCGCAGTGACTATTTATTATCTCAAGATGCTTTAGTCAGTGACTGCAGCATAAAACCTGGCATGGACTTGGCCGACAGCGGAAGTGATGCTGAGTGCCTTCTCCTGGCAGAAGCAGGGAATCAAGACACTGCCGTTGACGTTGCAACCCCTGTGGCATTGGTCACGGCATTTCGTGTGATGTACATGGCAGTGTCTCATATTCAAGAGCTGAGAGGGTATGATCTTGTGAGTCAATCCTTGCTGGCCCGTGGCTGTGCTGCAACAACCCACTTTTCCGGTGTGGGCTGCGTCGAAGTGGCAGCAAACCTGCTGCACAATGCAGTTGCAGCCAGTGCCTTGCAGCATTACAGCATGCAATGTTACAATGTTGCCTTCGATTACCTATGCTCAGTTCGCAGTCGTTCGGCTAAGGTGTTCAGGGTGCCATGCCTCTACGGTTCGTGGCTGCTTGTGACTCCAGTCGGCACTGTGCCAATGTGTTGATTGCCAGAGGTCATGGCTGCGTGTTTCGAGACATGCGTGACTACTGTCCAGGCTTGCCTACGTGGAAGGTGCTTTCCAGATTGTCTTGGCAGGAAAGGTATCAGAAGATTGTGGGTCTTTTGAGGTTTGGTCATCTCCGATGCTGGCACAGCGGGCACGACATATGCGGAAGTCCTTTCTTCGAAGGAGACGTGTCTGGCAGTCCTTGTCAACCCTGGTCTCGCTTTAATCCTCGTGCCTTGGGCTGGAGAGACGAGCGCTCACTGCCTTTTCTCATTTGGTGTGCATTGATTGCCCGAAGAAAACCTTTGTGGGCAGCACACGAAAATACTGAAGGTTTTCCAGGCCTGTGTGTATTACACGAGCATCTGGCAAGCTTGTATCACATATGGGAGGTGCGTAGCAGCCCAGAAGATTGTGGCTGGTCCGTGGTGAGGCGTCCGCGTCTTTATTTTGCGCTAGTCCGTCGTGACTGCCTTCTGCCTGGAACGGACGTGGCTGACAATTATCAGTTTGTCTGTGAGCAGCTTCGTGCGCACATGGCTTTGCACGGTGCTCCGACAATTGCGGATATTTGCCGTGCCTCACCAAAGCAGTGGCTGGTGATTGAAGAAAATCGAGCCAGGTCTAGGAGGAAGATGTCACCGCCGGTGACCGTGTCTGGTGTGTCTTGGGCATATCTCCTGACACGAAACCAGGCAAACTTTGAGAGCAGGTACAGGTCGCTCTGGAAGGAAAAGCTCGGCACCGACCCGAGCACCGATGAAAACTGACCATGGTTGGCTGTTGTAGAGTGCTTTCAAATTTGCAGGTGTGAGCTGGCCTACTGCTGCCAGGACCCAGACCGCCGGCCGGTGACTTCGGGTGCCAAACGGCAGATCCCGACCATCCGTCATGGAAGTGCCTTGCTGTGGTCTCCGATGCTTCAACGGTGGCTGATTCCCAACGAACTGTTGGTGGCCAGTGGCTTCCCGCTCTTGCCTGCAATAGCACGTGCCAGTGGAGTTCCCGTCGACGAGGTGTCTTTGCAGTGGCTGACACCCAGTGATGTAGGCAATGGAATGCACATCTTTCAGGTCGGAGTATTTTTGGCGAGTATCCTGAGCTGTGTTTCTGCCGGGAAGTGCGACGCACCGATGGCCTAGTTTCGATGGAAGCGCAACGAAGCCACTGCTGTTTCACCGACCCGGGCCCCGTCACCGACTAGGACCAGAGGCGACAATCAAGCCAAGTTTCAAAGTGCTGCAGCAGACCAACCCCCAACATACCTGGATCAAGTCGAAGTCGGTATCTGCAGAGTCCAGTTGTTGAGAAGGCTTGTTTGTTTATGAGGAGTCGCTGTATTCATAGGCATTATGTATCTTGCCGATAGCCAAATGATCTAGTGAGTCGCTGTCGTGACCCCGAATATAGCTACTTCGACTCGATCCGGTTATCTGCGGGGTTCGTTGTTTGCATCATGCCTTATCGTAGCTTTCAATGTTCTGCGCATCTGCCACGTTGACTCAGCTGCTCTGTTCATTGGCCAAGCTCAGACTCAGATTATAATCGAATCAAGCCGATCTGCTTATCTTGGCAGGGACCCACTCCCAGGTCCGGCCGTTGACTCAGCTGCTCTGTACATCAGCCAGCTCAGACTACAATCGAATCAAGCCGATCTGCTTATCTTGGCAGGGACCCACCCCCAGGTGCGGCCGTTGACTCAGCTGCTCTGTACATCAGCCAATCAAGTCGATTTGCTTATCTGGCAGGGACCCACCCCCAGTTGACTCGGCTGCTCTATTTCGTCAGCCCAGGTCGGACTATCGGTTCAAGCCGATCTGCTTATCTTCGCAGGGATACCCTTCCAGTGCACTGGGCCTGGGCTTGGGGCAGGTCAAGAACTGGAAGGAGTCACAACGACGACTTCTATTGCCAAGCTGCCACTTGTCAGGAGTTTCATTTGCAGGAACCCACTCACCCCCGAGCCTGGCCGATCTCTCAGGTCTGGCTTTGCATTCATTCGGCCGTGCGATTCTTCAGAGGCCCACTGCTCACTCGTGCAAGCAGCTCGTGCAGATCAGTTTCCTGTTAGTCTGGAGCTATTTATTTGATGTCGCTTGTGTTGCTGAAGTGTCTGGCTCTTCGTCGGTGATTTTGATTAGAGTGCCGACGTCCGGCGCCATGGGCAAAAAAGTCGTGAATGTTGAGAAAACTCACGAGGCCGGGCGGAATTTGACTTCGAAGTTTCACCACTACCAAAACCTGTCCTGTTCAGGGCCAGACAACGGTCCAATGCGGTGTTCTCCGCAAGCTGAAGGAGATTTGTGTGTCTCCATGAGGTGGTTTTGTTTGCGTGCGTGTCAATGTCTGCACGTTGTGACTTTGTGGCAGGACATATCTCTTGACCCCGATGTCTCGTCCTTCAGAGGACGTGACGACGATCGTGTGGTTGAGCTGATGGAGGTGTTTCGGTCGGGCCAGTACGACATGTCATTGCTGTCGCGGCCACAAGTGCTTGTGGATGGGGCTGGCATCTTGGCCTGTGTTTCCAGCTGCATGCCAAAACAGTGACCGTTCAGCTGTGCAACACTGCATCTCAGGAAAAGATCTGGTGGATGCCAACGGATTGTGTCTTTTGGCCGACGGGTACCAAACGGTGTCTGCGTTGTTCCTCAGCCTGTACAGTTCGTTGCTAAAGCTTTACTTTCGGATGTGTTGACATTTCGATTCAGACGTGACATGCCCCAGGATTGAGTTGCAGAATTTCTACGATTGTGACGAGACTGTGGCTGACCCGAACGTGTCTATGCCAGACAGCTTGTCCAAGATTTACGAACAAGGCAGGATATCGATATCAATGCAACCACCATTGACTGGCACAGACTGACTGTCAACACTTTTGAACTTGTCAGGTCTCCTCGTCGATTTAGTCACTTTTCCAGTGTATGACCGCGATTCCCATGTTGGTTGGCAGACACTGCGGCATGATGAGTCACAGAACAAGTTCAGAATGAGCAGTGTTTGGCAGAAGCTCGACGTGGTGGCTAGGTTTAGCAGAAGGGTGACTGGCGCCGACCCGGAGCTGATTCGGAAATCACTTCTGAAGCTCTATGGCAACTCCAAGAAGACCGTTGTGAACAGGTGGATGCGGTCATACGCAAGTTTGCCGACTAAGGTGCCTTTCCTTGTATATTGCCTTCTGAACGTTTAAACAAGTTCGGAGTTTTCTTGTCGGAAAGAATCACTGTCGTGTCTTTCCGAGCAGAGCAGACACATGTGCATGAAGTGAACAAGTGCTTGTTAACTGTCTGTTCGAGTGGATACGTTAAACAGATCAAGGCCATCATCACAAAGTCGCCATAGCCTTCGTGATTCGTGCCGAGCAAGAGTCATACTAAACTCACATGGACGATGTTCTGGAGCTGCTGATGCCCATGTATTGCTGTAGTTTTCCGGTGTGGGTAGCTCGGCTCAGATTCAATATTGGTCCGGTGTGGGTTGCTCGGCTCAGGTCTTGGAGCACCTGCGTACCTTGCGGACTGTGCCTGACGTCTGGGTGTTTGACAATGTTTTCTTTCTTGGGCCAGGCCAGTGTCTGGTGATTGGTGTCGCTGAAGTCATCATTATTTCCCTTCCATGCATTTGGGTGCCTGTGCAGGCCAGCAGAAGCTGAAGGCCGACGACGCCATCCGTGTCTTGAACATGGCCGTGAAGATGCGAGAGGATGGGGCCGAGATTTCAGAAAACATTCTAAAGTCCCAGATATGCCCAGCCATGCTGTCCAAAAGTGCTTGGGTGAAGACCATGCACTCAACTTTTGGTGGCTGCGCGAAAAGCAGTGCCGCAATGGTCCGAGTGACTGCAATGTTAGAGACGCGGTCCGGGCTGAACAAAGTGCTTGCGTGCATGGCAAGCAATGTTCCATTGCACGGGGTCTCCGACGAGAACCCGGGGATTCACGAGTGTCGTGTCTTGGCTTTGCCATGAGTGTTTCAGTCATGTGTTTGTGGTGCTTTGTTCAGACCCATGAGTCAATCAAAACATGTGCACTGTCAGTTGAAAATTCAGGTACTCTCTACCTGGAGTTCCAGAAGCAGAAGGCCGGCGGGCCTGGCACTGTGGATGCCTCTTCCTCGACGGTGGTTCCTCGGCAGAAGCCTGTGAGCCTGTGAATATCTTATGTGGGCACTTGTCCATGTCTGTCTGGCTGTTTGTTTGTCTCTGTCTCTCTCTCTCTCTCTCTCTCTCTCTCTCTCTCTCTCTCTCTCTCTCTCTCTCTCTCTCTCTCTCTCTCTCTCTCTCTCTCTCTCTCTCCTCTTCATGCTCTCAGGCTGTCAGCTCACAGGGCGATGATCCAGTGGCTTCGTTGGCGTCTGTGCCTGACAGCACCGCTGCTGCGGCGAGCATTGACGGTTCGCAGACAGCAGAGGACATGAAGGTGGATTTTATGGATCCAGTCGAAAAGCAGGCACAGGAGACGCTTCTCAAGAACATGGACAAGGTGCACCGCTTCGTGGGTGCGAACGCGGTGTCTGATCTGAAAAAGACTGTGCCTGGCTACCTGACCCCGCAGCAGCGTACATGCTTCCTGCTGGATTCACCAACCAGCAGAGCCAAAGTTGGCTCGAGCTTTGTGCAAGTTGTCAAGGAGGTGGTTGACAACAACAAGCTCAGCCAGTTCAGCATCGCGGTTCTTTGCGGGTGCCGATTGGACTACATGAGTGTGCTTCAGGCGAAACTGGCTGCGACGTTTCCGAGTGCCTGCATCTTCGTGACTGCGCTCACTGCTGGAGCTGATGTTCAAAGTGACAAAAGGCGCATGAATTTCGCCTTAGTGCTTCACCAAGGCACAACTGACTTGCCGGCAACGCCTACCATGGTGCCTGCGCTGAGAGGGCGTGCCAAAGCCTGGGAAGGCATTCGCCTTCGGTGCCTGACTTTGAGTTGCCCCCTTCGTGACTTAAAGGAACAGGAAAGGGCAAAGCAGGTGTCTGAGGACTCGAAGGTGCCTGTGAAGCCGGGTGATACCCGCGCAGATCCCACAAAGTGCGAGCTTGATCCGGATGATTGTGAAGGGCAGGGGCAGGACGAGGCGATGAGTGAAGAAGAGGACACGGATCCTGCGCCACTCAACCTGGGTGCCTCGTTCCAACAGCGTGACTTCTTGGTGGACCTCTTTACCTTTGCCAAGAGCGCCTCCTTCTACACGCCTATCCTTCAGTGCCTGCTGTGTGTGTCTCGGTCCGTGACGACGGTCATCTTGACAACCACGGCACACCCAGGCTCCAGCGTGGCTGCGCGGTTGCTTGGTCAAGAGGTCTTCGCGTGTCTGCCAACTGTGACTTCGCATGCGTCCTTGCATGGCATGAAGTTGCAGGAGGAGATGTTTTACCGGAGTGCGTTGGCTGAAGCCCGCGTGACTGCGGATGCCGGGGACCGCAAACGCTCCCATGTGTCTGCAGCCATCCAGTTGATTGAAGGAGGTTGCGTGCCTGACAGTGATGTGTTTGACTTGACTGATGTCGAACCCCCGGAGACTGATTCCTTTGCGGGCCTGGACGTCTTTCACGGTGCTTTGGATACGAGAGTTCCGTTGCTACTACAGAAGGAACTCAGTGACTCCAACCTGTGCCTGGACTTGCACCAGTCCTTTGGGCGTGGCTTGGTGACTGGTAAGCCGTTGGCCGAGGGTGAAATCATATGCACCGCTACGGCGGCCAAGTTCACCTGTTACGAGGCCTTGGCGAAGTTCCTGCGCTTGCCTGGGCATGGTTTCCTCGCTGACGGTGTGGTCAAGGTTGACAATGCCAGAGTGAAGGGATCACGTGCCTCCGTGTACTGTGTCTTGCTGGGTGCTGCGAGATACGTGCAACACTTTCAAGGCCGGGAGGGAACAAGGGAAGCGGGTTGTGTTGCTCTTTTGCATGTGTGTCTGGCCAGGCATTCGCAAGCAGCCGAACTGTGCCTGGCAAGTGGACAGTGCCTGCGGAAGTGGCAGTGGCTACCTCAAGCTTGTGGCCCCTTGGTCCAAGCTTGTTCATGTGATGTCTGCAACAAACAGCCCGTTGCTTGTATAGCTTTCGTTTGATTTGAACTGGAGGTTCGCACCCACAACGGTGCAGGCGTGGCTCGCAACAGTCAACTGTGCACCAACTACGGTTTGGCGTTCGACTTCGCCCAAGCCGCAGAGATGTTTGAAGACGATCGTGTCAAACGATTCCGTGGTGCACTTGACGCCGTTCTTTCCAAGAGCCAAAGCCAGGCAGGGAATCCAAGTTGCACAGTTCTAGCCAGTGGTCACAAGTAATTAAATTTTTCTGTGCAACGTGACTTGTCTTAAGAAGGTGGCTACGTCTTCGCCAGCACCACCTGCAGTGCCTGCAGTGCCTGCAGTTGTGACTGCGCCACCAGCCCCTGTTCAAGCCAACCCGAAGCCACCTGTCCCTGCCGCAACTCCTGCGCCTGTGCCCACACCTCCTGTGCCTGCGCCTGCACCTCCTGTGCCTGCGCCTGCACCTCCTGTGGTGCCTGCACTTGACGAAAAAGCGAAGCAGCCAGCCCCAGTGACTGCAAACCAGAAGAGCGACAGCGAGGCCGGGGTGGTCACGAATCAATGTGCATGTTTGTGCCATTGATTGTCCGGCCCCTTGTCAGGTGCAGATCGCGGAGAACATCACTGACTTCAAGTTCCTGCTGCGCATGACACCTGCAAGCTTCGTGCTTGTGTCTGGGGAGGTGCAAAACCGTCGGCTTGCTCCTCGCACATGCCTGTGGTGGACACGCTCAGCTGTTTTGGAACGCGGGGACTCAAATTCACCTTTTGCTGTCCACTTCAAGCGAAGCAGTGACTGGGTGTTCTACTACAAGGGCAAGGACCAGGCTTTCGGCGTCGCGCAGCTGAAAGACTTGATCCAGGAGAAGAGCGTGGCGAGCATCCCTGGGCATGGCAGCTGGCTGCTCGGCGTGTGTTTGTGCAGTTTCTTGTGTTTGTGTGTATGTGCGTTTGTGGGAATGGTTGTGTTGGTTTCTGCTTTGCCAATGTGTATGCATCAGTCTGAGTCTGTGTGTATTGTTTCTGTTCACTTGCCCAGCTCATGAAGATCGGCAGGCGTATGTGTGTGTGTGTTGCGTGTTTGTCACTGGAAGCATTATGTCTGGACTGTTGCAGCTGACAGTTGATTGATGTACTACGAGGCCAGCGGGACAGTGCCCTCCCACTTTCAATATGGAGAAGACAACCTTGTGTCTGAAGTGCAAAGATCCCGCCGATGAGAAGATCCTTCAGACGGCCAGCAAGTGCAGCACTGTGTCTCTCATGTGGATCATGAAAGCAGCTTCTGAGCAGGACGGGACCATGTCATGCCAACAGTGGACATGAGACAATCTAATTTGCCTTTGCTGTGCATCATGCTGACTGTTTACATATTTAGTTGCCCGCAGGAGCTTGCAGTGTATGGCGTCGCCCTGGCCAACAACAAGCAGATGATTGTGATGCCGGACCGCAACGTGCTGAGCTGAAGGGATGGTGGTGACTGCGGTCCAGCAATTTTCCAGCAGAATCGTGCATATTAATGAAGAGAGACCGTTGCTTTCTAGGTGTTGAATTGAACTAGGAAACCTTAGTGAGTTAGTCGATTAGGTTTCAAGTTGTATTCCAAACTTGTTGCTTTGACTCCGTATTCTATTTTTGGACAATGTTATGATGTGCAGGTTTGATATGTGACTACCACCACTCATTGTGCTTCCAATTGCATTTCCAAGTTCTTGGGTTCATTGCAGCAGGCACTCCCTGGTGTGCAAGAGCCAGGATCGTAGTCCGATGACCAGCACATTCTAGTGTTTGGCAGATCCTTCTATTGTTCGACGTGCAGTACAGTTGCTGGTCCGCTTTCGCTGCAGCAGCTTTAGCAACACGACGTGTATCTGGCAGCCACCATTAGTGCTTGGCATCCCTTTGGCCATATGCCGTGTTTGAGCTGTCCTTCCGGCCACCCCAGTGGAAAACTCAGTCTGTGACCTGCCCAAGGTGCATTACCGGTATTAATTTTGAATTCGATGTGAAGACATGGTAAGTATGATAGTTTCGATAGGAGATTCTCCACAAGGTCACTGAGTGGATCGAAGGACAGCACAGGGAACCATGTACGTGGCTGCGTCAAGTCGGTGCCGAGAGTCAAGTCAGAGCAATTAAGGATGGGATTCCGAATCTTTATTTACTGCATGTGATGATGAATTTCAGTAAAATAAAAATATAGCACATTTTCCAGAAGCCCATCTCCAGTGAGTCAGGCAGCGAAAGCAGTAGCTTCGCAGGGGTGCTCTGCGAGATTCTCTTCAAAAAAGCTTGTATGAGCGACGTTGCATATTTCTGCGTGCAAGTCGAAGTTTGTGTCTTCGCATTTGTGGTTTAAGTTATGCGTCACGATGCAGGTTCCAGTGGCCCGCCTCATTGCACAGAGTGACGAACTCAGTGCCCACTGTCGCTGAATGAGTTTTGGCCCAACTTCCAATACAGTGTTCCTGCCCTCGTGCAGGTGCCAGAGGCAGCCTCATTTCGCAAAGTCACGATCTCAGCCGTTTTCGATGGATGCGCATGCTTCTGATACAGCTTTGTTGCTTTACTGCAGGTGTCACAGTCACAGGCAGCTTTGCCTCATTGCACTTCAATATCTCAAAGCCGTGAACTCAGTGGAGCCTCGTCCGATGGCTCTGTGCTCGTTTTCATCATAATCGGGTGAAGCACAGCCGAAGCAAAGGAAAACACCTCTTGCTATCCCGTGTCTCAAAAAGTGGATCAAGTGTCAACAGTGTCTAAGCTTGACACAAAAAACGAAATGCAGTGTCAGTGAACTTCGGACCACACATACACAAAGAGGGTGTTAGGAGTCTGATCTTCTTCGGTGGACTTCTCATGATCTAGGTCTGTTTGCTTGGGCCGTGCAGTGTAGGGTACATTACATTGCCATGACGAGCAGCCCAACGACCAGCTTGCCACCTGCTGCGTGTGACTATTATGAACCACATGACATGGAGGAGGATGCTGATGCTGTCAGTCTTGCTGCAAGCAGTGCGGCGACATCAGTCATGGAAGTTGTGGATGGAAAGGTTGAAGAGCCGGAGAGTCCGGGACCGTGCTTGGTGGTGGCTCCAGCTCAGCAGTCCATGGCAGGAGACACAAGCGACTCAGAGTCGGATGGGGAAGCTCCCTTGCAGCGTCCTGCCACAGGTGACGACAACGAGGATGATGAGGCCTGTGTCCAGAAGACTTGGCACAGGGGTGTCAATTGTGGCTCGTGGGTTGGCACTTTGGGCTCTGCATGTCTGCAAGCTCAAAGTCAAGTGCTTGTGGCAAATGTGGTGGCCAATGTGCAAGCCTGTGAGAAGAAAACAATGAAGCACGTGTTGTCGCAGATTCGACCTGGATGTTCTGTGAGTGGCCAAAAGGTGTCTTTTCCTATCTTTGCAGCCAGCCGGTTTCTTGGTCTGGGCGCGTATACCGTGCGCAATGTGTGGGAGAAGCTGCAGAGGAGCCAGTGGCAGCCCCAGTCCAGCTACGGCGGTCGACAACCGAGACGTGCCTCGAGTACTGAAGAGGTGCCTGCGACAGGTGGAGACCCTTCAGAGTCCGAAACGAGCCATGGCATTGTTCAGCGAAAATTTGATTTCTGATTCTGTGTACACTACTGCCTAAGCCCCAAACCCTAAACCCCAAAAACCCCAAACCTTAAAGCCTAAGCCCCAAACCCTAAGCCCTAACTACAAAAAACCTAAACCCTAAAGCCTAAACCCTAAACCCTTAAAACAGGCAACCCAGGCATAATAAGCAAGACTAAACAAGCCTCGTCTCGGAAGGAATGTTGAAGACGATCACGTGCCTGAGAAAGTGCGGGCCATGGAGAATGTGTGCCTGCTTGCCATTTCCTGTGCAGTTGAAGGTCAAAGTGGCTGGGCTTATGAGCGCCAAGCCGCTCGCTGGAAGGAAGCCGGCGTGCACATTGGCACCGCGTTACACAGCAGACGATTTTTCCGGGAGGTGACTCACGTGGCTTCATTAGTCCTGTCCCAGCTTGAAGGCCTCCAATGGTCTGTGCCTGTGTTAAGCACCGGGTGCCCTTCAGACTTTGCCCTCATGCTTGATCCAGTGTCTTTGGGTTCTGGCTTCAGTGCGAAGCACGAGACGGTTCTCATGGTGACTATGATGCTAGTGAACAGCACTGGAAACCTCATGGTGCCTATGTGTGCCTCCCCCACCCTTGGAATAGGTGATCACAGAGGGGATAAGTTGGTCGACCTGACTTTGAAGTGTCTGGAAGATCATCCAGGTGTCTTCGATAGAGAGACCCTGAGGGCCCGACTGAGCCTGGTGGCTGGAGATGGCGGAATCGTGGCTGGTGGAAAGCAGCACCGCCACAAATCAACAGGTGCGGCTGAGAAGCTGTGGAAACGCATCCACGGTGACTCGGAGCCACACAGCTTGAATTGCAGAAGAGTTTTGAGTTATTTTGTTGGAAACTGTAATCTGTGATAATCGACTTGCTGTCTATAAAGCCGTGCCTGTTAGCAGGTCAGCAATGGATTGTGTTGACTGGGATGCTTTTCACAGAGATGACATCAGCTTCAGCCGGGCAGTTGCGAGAACGCAGGCTGCCGCCGAGCTTTTTGCTCTTGCGAAAGATTTGGACCATCTCTTCAACTATGGCGATGGCAGGATTATTTTTCGATCCTTGCAAAAAGAGCTCGACGTGGCTAGTGGTCAGGTGCGACAGACTGGTGGAACACGAAAGGTTGGTGCCTTGTCCTTGGTGCCTGAAAGCATACTGCAGCACCTGAAAAGGATAACCGTGGGTCTACGACTTCGTTACGAGTGGCGCAAAGAGGGCCATGGTAACTTTACTTTGGATCGCCTTACTCAAATCTCAAGACGACTGCTCGATCCTGCATTTCTTACCTTCACCATGCTTATGAGTGATGTAACGCGTGGCCCGGTCCGGCACCATGCCTTGCTTGTGCAAGGTGCATTGGAGCCATGGGCTTGCAAACGTGCAGACAGTGCATATGTCGACGAACTTAGTGCCTGTTTGCGTGGCTATGAGTGGTTGGAGACGTGTGTTCAAGTCACGACCTTGCTGGCTCAGCACTGTTCTTTGGCAGAGAGAGCTTGTGCCTAGACCAATATTATGACAAAGCAAATTTAAACTTGTGAATTTGTGGGTGTGTACTGTATGTTGAAGTGGTGGCCTAACCATTGAGTCGTTCTTGTTCGTGGCATGGTTGTGTTTTGCTAAGGTTTCCTGGTTGCCTGGAGCTCTGAGAAGAAGCATCGAATGTACACAGGGACTTTTTTGAAGTTCGCTGCCAAAATTCTGCTTCAGATACCACCTTCTGTGGCTGATGTGGAGCTTGCGGTGGAGTTGCCTGAGCAGTACACCAAAGGCCGTGCCGCAGGACCCCATTGCCAGTGCCCTGGAGAATTGCTTTCCTTGAAGAGCCGGGGCAAGGTCCCTTCTGTGAGACTTTGCAACTGGACAGTGCATGAAAAGCGAAAGTGTGGTCGCAAGTGCAGCAAGCTGTGCGGGAAGGTCCTTCGAGTGCCTTTTTGGGTAGCCCAGTCCTCCAACACGAAAGATGGTGCTTTGACAGAGAACGTGCCTCGTTATCAAACTATTCCCAAAGTACCGCCTGGCCGGTCAAGACCGGGCTTGCTGCGGGCTCGCTTGGTGACACATTCCCTGTCTCCGGAGGCGAAGCTGCACAAAATGAACAGCGGTGGATGCAAATGCCCTTGTGCCTGGACTTCACGTTGCCAGGTTACTCTGTTTGCAAACAGCAGGCCAACACAAATATCGAAAATTTAATGCACTAGTTCACAACTGCAATCTTCATCTGTGGGAGTGCTGGAACTGTGTGAATTGAGTTTTATTGATTTACAAGTGGTTTCTCTTTGCACTTCAGATTAAGGTTAGGAATGTCTGGGCTCAGATGATACTGTCGCATCGACACCCGAGGTTCCGACAGCCATGTACCATTATGTCCTCAAAGTACTTGATGGAATCCGTCTGGCAAGAGGATTTGTTGAACGCTTGCAGAATGAATTTCAGGAAATTATTGGCACCGTGGGTGTTAATGACGAGATGATGTTGCTGGTGGAGAAGATGCAATCTTGCTTCGCATGGCAGCGATTGGTGACTTCACCTCCATCCCAGACGGATTGTGAAAGCTTCCTGACTGTTTGGCAACTGCTGGAGCCATTTTTGGCTAAGTGTCTGTGGCCTGATCCGCAGGCATATCCGTTGCGTAGCTTGAGCTGGGATTTGGCGGTTAAAGAGAAGGACCGTCAGTATAGACTGTTCTGCAAGCGAGTGCGGCTAATTGCTGCTGCGTCCCAGGGAACAGAAATCAGCTCGGCAGTGCCTGAAGACGTGGCTGCAGAAGCAGCTGGATGGTGGGAGACATCAACATATGTCGTGCGTCCAGTGTGGGTGCTAGGTTGGGTCAAGATGTTCCTTCTGAAGATGCTGCCCCCCAACACGATCAGAAAGATTCAGTGGGACATTACAGACCGAGTGTCTCGATTTTTGCTGGGTGACATGCTGCCGGCTGCTGCTTGGTCCAGGCATGAAGTTCCGGTGCCTGAGGTATTGGAAGCCTTCAAGTATGGGAGAAGAAAGAGAAAGAAGACGATGACTCGGTCTTCAGGTGGCTTGCGGAGTTGGAAGGGGAAGGTGGTGCGAATTGTTGACATGCTGCGTCGAATACGACCGGAACGTGTGTCTGCTACCATTGATTCTCATCCGTGCCTGATCTGAAGCTGCCTTTGTCAAACGTTACTTGTTATTGTTTGTGGGGGGATTCAGTCAGATGTCGGTCTTCATTTCCGATGAGTGAAGCCTGCCAAGCTAAGGTACTTCGCTGTTGGTTTCGTGCCTGAAGACGGTGCCCCCCTTGCTCGAGCTTCTGCGTGGCATGCCGTCAGACTTCACCACAGATGCCGCCTCCTCCGTGGGCCAGAAGCCGCGTGCGAGCGCTTGGGGTCATTTGCCCACCAGCAATGGAGGGCACAGCAGCACTTGTCGCCACAAAACTTGATGGATCGTGTTCATCTTCAGAGTGCCGGCGTCAAGTGTCTCGGGAGTGAAAGGGACCGATTATTGGTGTCTCAGGTGTCTGAGTTCCTGTGCGAAATGAGCAGATTTTGTTTGTTCAGTGGGAGTGCATGATTTGAACATAGTGCCGGGCATTAGTTCTGATTCAACATTGTCCAAGCTCAGGCTGTTGCTGAGCGCAAAGATGTCTCCGCTTCACCTTCGACCTGTGACTGCCCAAATCCAGTCCCACTTGGAACTCCTATCAGCATCTTTAGTACCATTTTAAGTTGCTGGCAGAAGTTCTACGATGGCTGTGATTCACTGTGACTGCAGTGCAGTTGAACATTTTTTGCATAAGGATGGCATGACTGAAAGTGGCCACGATGCGGAGCTCTTCAACATCCTGCAGGTGAATGGGCTTGAAGTTGGAGATGTGTCTGTGTGCCGGATTCGCAGCAGAGTGGCTGACGCAACTGCCAAATCACTTCCGTCGACGTTACCGCCTGAGCTTTCGACAGTGCTGCCGCAAGCCTTAACGGCACAAGGACTGCAGTGCCTGCATGTTGTCTGTGACTGTGGCAGTGACTGGGTCTTGTTGGTGTCTTTTGCTGGTGCCTCGTGCTGGTGCCTCGTGCAGGACAAGCTCAAGCTTTGGCAGTGTCTGCGGGCCTTCAGCGACTCCGGCACAGACAACCGGCTTCATCGACATTGCGTGATGCTCTGCAGTCGCCTCTCGACTCCGAATCATGATATAATTGCAATGGTGTTGTTTAAATAGGCAAAGGGGAAACAAGGGTCTAGAGTTTAGGGTTAATTACTAATTTCAGTCAGGTACATGGACACTGACGCTGGCAAGAAGTGGCAGCAGGAAAGGGACTGGGACATCAAAGGAGATTGAATTGTGGCTAACTGATACTGATGTTCTAAGCACCGCTGGTCTGAGGAATGTTGTGGCTAAGTGATTGTACAGTGCCTGAAGAATCACTGTCTTGGTTCATAATATGCTCAGCAGTCCAGCCAGTCCAATCTTCTCAGATGATGTCGCTGTCATGCAGCGCACCGTTGAGACCGCTGCACTAGGGATTGGGTCTTCAAAGAGGATTGACTTGTGGCTGACTGATGATCTAAGCACTGCTGGTCTGAGGAATGTTGTGTCTAAGTGATTGTACAGTGCCTCAAGAATCATTGTATAATATGCTCAGCAGTCCAGTCCAGTCCAATCTTCTCAGATGTCCCTGACACACAGTGCACCGTTGAGACCGATGCCCTCGCAAGAAAGAAATGCTTCGGGGAATCAAGTCACTGCAATGCTGATTTCAGTATTTACGCATCACTTGTCCAAGCGAAAGTTTATCCTGATCAGGTTTACCTTGGTGCTGGTAACTCGATCGGTGAGTGCCTCAGCTCAGGGTTCCCAACGACTGAGCGTGTGCCACTGAGTCGGGGCCGAACAGGTGTCTTGTAGACGAGCCAACCACGGCGATGCTGTCACATGGAATGGCGAGAGTCTCAGCATCAAACGACACATATCCATTTCCAGTTAAGCTACTACTACTTCCGGGTGTTATCATTGAAGTTGAAGTGTTTCCTTTGTGAAAGTCAGCATCATGATGATGCTTGAATGTGCCACGGACGGGACATGGCAAGAGTCTGCCTGTCAGGTCGGGCGAATTCCATTATAATATAATCGGCGAAGGCTGCAAGATATTTCTCTTTCTTGTCTCGTTGATAGATGACATATACCCAGATTTCCTTGAAAAGGGAGCAGCAGCTGCGAGCGATAATTGTGCAGGCTGACACCGGCAACCTTCCTTTGAGTGACTGAAGTAGACTTTTTTTGCCTGTGTTCATGTCGTTCCCATTACATTAATTAAGATGTGTCCGAGGCTCATGGCATGGTGTGGGAAGGAGTCCAAGCCTGCGAGTCGACCGGTCACCGACCCAGCATGTGCTGTGTTTGTGTGTGCATTCGTTCGCAATCTTCCAACTGTGAGTGAGGTGCTGTCCATTGATTGATTGATCGACTCACACATGATTTGGACACCTCCGATATTTGACCGAAGCTGTGACTGTTTCAGTGCCTGTTCTGTTCTGAAGACATGGCGGTAGCAACTCGTGCCGGCGTGTATGAATGGCGTCATGGCGCTCGACAAGAAACCTTGTTCCTGTTCGATAACTGGCGAACGGGCTTCAAGCGCCGAACTCGTGGCTGCGCCGGGATTTAGTTTGATTTTTGAGTGTAGTGTAAGAAGTTAGAGCATGCTGACTGCTGATGTTTCGGTGTGTTTCCTGTCTGATCTTCCAGCGTTTGCTTGCAACTATGCTCACTTGCATCCAAGGTACCGGTCGCGTGGCTTACGGTATGCAGGGTACGTGGTGCCTGGCTGCCGATGGCCGTGACATCTTGCTTCGTGACTTCGCTTGTTGCTCTGACGTCGGCGTGCGGAGACACGAGATTTGTTTGCGGCAGGACAGTGACTGTCATGGCCACTTCACTGACGGCATCCGCAAAGTGTCTTTCGTTGGTGTCATCACACTGAGCTCACCGAGTGCATTGCCGACAAGCGTGCCTGAGGGCTGGGTTCTCATCGAGGAGAGGAACTTTCAGCAGTGATTCAGTGACTGCAGCAATTTTGTTTCACAGCGCGTTCAAAGGGCCTTTGAGAGTTTGTCTGATTTTAAATAGGACATCACTTGTGCCTGGTTCAGTCTGTGCAAGTGCACGTGTGTGTGTGTGTGTGCATGTGTCCCTTTGCGATGCTACAGCTTCCGTGAAGCCATGTTCAAGCAGTCCATGTCTGGTCACAGTGACTTTCTGTTGCTGTGCCATTGTACACGAATCGACTGGACCACATGGCTCAGTAGTAGCAATAGTGGCCATGTCTGGTCACACTGAGTTCCGTTGCTGTCATTGTACACGAATCGACTGGACCACACGGCTCCGTAGTAGTCGCTGTGGTGCTAATATGGCGGACGAGTTTAACTCTGATGTGTAGTTGTTGGCCGTGCGACCAAAATGTGCGTGCGTTCCCAGATTCTGACATCGTGTCTCATAAACTGTGTGTCGCTCATGCCGCGCCTGCTTGCCCCCAGTGGCCCAGGTCTCAGAGTGTCAACATCTTGCAAGAGGCTGGTCCGTGAGCTTGTCTTTACACAGCAAAAGGTGCGGTACAGCGCATTTGCTGCATGCTGGGTCTGGAAAATCATGCACATTCAATATTTTGATTAGCCGGCAGCCAAGAATAATCAATCCGCCGCTGGTTGAACTGTAACACGTGACGTGTGATTCGAGTTATCCTGAATCTGCCTGCTGCAAGGTCTTAGTGCCTGTACGTGCTGAAAACTGAGTCTGGAGGAAAGGAGGCCTGTGACTGTGTGGCTTTGCATGCGCTGCTAGCAGAGTGTTTGCTGCCAGGTGGTTGTTCATGGTAATAGGTTCCGGTGTCTAGTACACTGCATGTGCTTCGTGCTAGGTGTGGAATCTCTTGCCAATGTGCATACTAATGGCGAATGTTTGCCTCAGTTCCTCGGGAGTCGTCGTGCCTAGCTTCAGTCGTGGAATCGTGCCATTCTGATTCTGAGTCCTGTGACGTGAATAAAAATATCTGTGCAGTCCAATATTTGCCCTTACTTACTTGCGACAGCGACTTCAGGAAATAAAGGAATTGTTGTGAAGAGTTCGTCTGAGAACTGACCTACGCCGTACGCCGAGAGCTTGTAGTGCGGCAGGCGAGGCTTTACAAGGGCTTGAGGCTTTAGTACAGTTTGGCCTGGACATCTTTCAATTCCGTGTTGGTGTCTTGCAGTCTCTTGCGTTCAAGAAAGCTGTGCACTTGACTTGTGACTTAGAGTTCGGATCTGGGAGGACCGTTCGTTGTAAGTGGGCGTTGTGGCTCGCACTCGCAAAAGCCTAGTCACTGGCCGACACAAACTTTGTGTCTGTGAAAAACTCTGACTGGCAAAAGTGCCTAAGCCATGCCATTGCCAATGGACCCGGACTCCCAGAAGGTCTTTCGAAAGCTTGCGAAATTGCTGTCGGAGCGACAAGCCAACTATGTCCTGCAGATGTGGCTGAGATTGTACTACGACCAGTGTGTGCACCTCAATATACTAAATCAGAAATTCTTTTGCTTACTGCGATTCGTCCCAAAGCCCTGTGACTGTAATAAATATTAATGACCAAAGTCCAGCTAGCTGTCATCCAAGGGAAGACTGCCTGGGCGACTACCTAGAGTTCCGCATGTATTGGATCGAAGAGTCTCTCAACAACGAGGTGCACACCGAGTTGGCGAAAAGAAGCAGGTTGCTCGAGCTCAAGATCTTGAGGAAGATCGTCACCGTGAGATAGTGACTCAGCGACTTAGTGACTGAGTGGCGGAATGACTTCGGAGCCGGACCGAGGCCGAGGCTTTTTACAAACACAGTGTGTTTTCACCGTGTTTGCGCAAGTAATTTGTATACGAGTAGGAAGTGACAAAGTGGTTGCACAGAATCAGAATGCAACCCAGTCAGCAGCCGGCAGTGCGGCAGTGAACATATTTATCTCAGTGCTTACTGAGCACTGAGGTAAGCATGGGCCTGGGCCATGTGACTCTATGCTAGTTACATATGTATTTAATTTATATGTATATATATATATATATATGTATGTACATATTTCCACTCCTGTGTCGATTCGAGGAGCCTGAATTTGCCTGCGGTGCCGTGCTGTCCTAATTCAGTTTATCGGCAGCAGTGTGTCTATGTGGGAATGAAACAGTGCTTGCTCATATAATGACTAAGTCTTTATTTGACCGCTACTGCCCACAAGTCGGGACTGCTGATGCTAACAGAGTGCACAACTCGACCTGCCTTCAACAGCAGCTAGCAGTGGAAAGTGTGTGTGCCTGTCAGTGCCTAGCCTCGGTTAGAGAGTTCTTTGTTTTGGCCTTGAGCCTATGTTATGTCGCCAGGTCTGAGCTCCTGGACTCTGGACTTGACTTGCCACACATTGAGAAGGCCCGCTGTGTAGAATAGAAGGGCATTGATTCATTGACTTCCTGCTCATCCAGGTTGCTTGGTGTGACGATGTCTGAGCTGCCACTTCGGGCGGCCAGTACGGGCCTTGCCTGGTGCCTGATTGATTTGTGCTTCATCATTTATTAATTGAGTTCTCGTCAGGTGCAGTTTGCTTGAATGAATCATCCAAGCAGGCTGCACATGACTGAGGGTATGTCGATCTTGATAGAGTCATTGTTTCACAATCTCGTCAGCTTAGTGTGACGATGTCTCAGCTGTCGCTGCCAGTGCCTGATTGATGTGTGCTTCGTAAATCAGTGTCAACTTTGAGCAGGCATGGAGGGTGCCTATTGGGATCCAATATGCCCCCTCCATGCGTGCTCAAAGGCGCAGTTTGCTTCAATGAATCATCCAAGCAGGCTGCACATCTGGTCGTGCCTGATTGTCGTTGAAAATAAGAAGCAGTCAGCCTGCTTGAATGATTTGTTGCCGGTAGCAGTCTGCACGTGTGCCTCAGAACCGTCTTGGCGAATGAAAAAGTGTCCTCTCGATCTCGACTGCAAGCTTGGCTTCCCTTTGTGTTGACTGTCCCCCAGTAAATCCCTCTATACGAAAGCTGTGTTAAAGCCACCACGCCCCAGTCTGCCCTATAAACCCCGAAGCAAAAATCCGTCAGGATGGCCCCAAAGGCTGCTATGACATCGGCCTGCCTTCCAAGAAGCCCTTGTTCCAGCTCTTTGCCGGGGTCCGAGATTCGAAGGGTTCGAGGTTCACGAATGTAGGGCTCGGTGTTTTTGAAGATTCTGGAATGCAACGGCCCAAGCGCCTCAAGTGGGATAGTGGAGTTCAAGCTCAGGCTCAGGGAGCAAACGGAAAGCTTTGGGCTTTGATGCTACAGGGTGTGCTCCATTCACGGCGGAAAAAACTGAAACCCTGAACCCTTTTGGGGGTATGGGCTTGTAAGTTTTGCTGCAGAATGTCCTGTTTCGAATGAGGGATGGATGCTTGTAGCAAACGAGGATCCAGAGTGCGGCTGGACGATCTTTAGGGCTGAATAGTTGGGCAACATCCAGTTACCGCCGTTTCAAACTGCCGCATCCATGTGCCTATGCTGTTCATGTTGTGTTTGGGAGTTTCCGAAAATTAGGGGTACCTTATTTTGGAGTCCTTGTAATAAGGATCCTATTATTTCGGGTGCTATATTAGGGTCCCCCATTTCCGGAAACCCCCATTTGGTCTCGTCACGCACAGTCAGCTCTCTGGGTGTCCCTGGAGCAAAAATCGCTGCCAGCAGTTCCCCAGGTCGAGAAGCTTCTGAGGCTTCGAGCCATGGCCAAGGAGGTTCGGGTGCGAGGTTTAGGGGCGGCTAGGGCTTTCCTAACTAAAGCCCGGATGGCAGTTCAAATTTTTTTGTGACTCATCGACTGTATGGTCAGATCCTTTAACAAGAATTTTGGGTAGCTCGAAAAAGGTCTTACATTTCAGGTTCTAGGCAGGGTTCAGGGCTTCAGCGTCATGCCCATCTCCGGTCCCTTGGCTTTACTGTCACTCCCTGTGTTGGTTGTCGTTGTGCTTGTCAATTGCAGTAAGTACTTATGCTTGTCGTGGCTGCGCATATTGATACTCATTGTTCGTCTTTACTGCTGTTCTATTTTGCCATGAAGCAACTGCGCAAAACAACTGCGGATTAGGTCTCCAGTGTAAGTTAAGTGTGGGTTGCCTTGTGTCGTGGAGCAGTGAGGGCGGAGGGGTATGGAGAAGAAAAGGATGTTGGACTGGAGGATAGCTGATTGCATTATTGTTTTCCTGCTTTAAGCCGATGCAGTAGCCTCTGTGTAGGCATTTGACCTGGCACTTGTTGGGAAGGCTGGCGGGCCGAATCCACGGCTTCCGTTTCTCATCATGACCAGCCGGGCACGCAGACGCTGGATCGCTGGCCATGCTTCTGAGCTTATGCAGCAACCTTCACCCAAACCGTTTCAAACTAAGGGCAACAAAGCGACAACTAGATGCATGGAATGCTTGCTCACAGTAGGAGTAGGACCTACCTACTGTCGCAGTTAGTATGTGAACGAACTTTCGTTTTTGTGAGCAGGCCCCCGTGCTTTATAGAACGCCCAGACAGTCGAGTGGTGTGACTGTTTTGCCTTAGCTTATAACTTATAATAACTCTCGCTGTTACTTGGCTCAGGGCTGCAACACGAACCCCCGAGGTGCTACTTAGACTTCAAAGAGAGGGCTCATCCAGGGAGCGCAAGAAGATTAGAAGAGCCTCACTGAGACAATCTCGGGCTCCCCAGAAATCCAAGCATCCTGAAGTACAAATTCTATGTCAGCTATGTAGGCCCTAGGAAACGCAAGCTAGCCCTACTGTTGTACCTGTGGCCCAAAACACCTACCTTGGTCAAGGCACGGCAGAACGAATCAATAATGAGGTACCGCAGGTAGCAGTAACCCAAGTTTGCGGGTGAAATTTCAGCCCAATACTGTAGGTCCGATGACGCATGCGCAGACGGTCAGCTTCTTTGAAGAGCCAGAGACCCAGTGGTGCGAGATACAGACCACATGTACTGGTAATGTCCCGGTATCCCCCTACAGTATAGTTCCTGGAAACTCATGATGCCTTCATGCATTCCGGCGATTTGTTCTATATACATAAAATTAAGGCCCTGCTAGTAGCGATTGAAAGACCGGGCCAGGTTGCCTTGAGTTCCCCTTTGAACCTGGACAAGTAAGGTTAGGGTTGCTTGAGTTGGGTGCGGGAGCAAACTCAACCCAGGCTCTGGGTTCAGGTTAACTTGAAGGCCTAACCTGAACTTTTTTGGGTGTAGGGCCAAAGGTCCATGACTATGACCTATTCGCTTTTATGCTTCTTTGACTTCCGAGCCGAAATGCTTTCGACCATGACTCGATATCTTGTCAGTGCGGCCACATCGCTATGACCTGCTTGTCATGATATGCTTATCGCTGTACCTTTTTTTTCTTGGCTGTCCAGGTTTCACAGCTGTTTCGAAGAGGCTTTCTGAGATTTTCGGCATTTCTTAAATGTCACCGGGATGATGATACTCCTGACAGAGCCCTGCCGAGGAGACCCCTTAAAGCCCAAATCCGGTAATCCAAAACCAGAATGTGTTGCTTTCGGCCTGAACGGGTGATGGTTCTACTGTGCCACGGTCTAGACCCTGCGCAGGTCTACAGTTCCACCGGCTAGTGAAAAGGCGGCGAAGCGCACCTCCAGCCAACCTTTCCCCAGCCGGCCCCATGCCAAGCTGCATGTCATGCTGCTGCCAAAGGAACAACTACTTCGGGGCATCGAAGGAAGAAGTGCCCCGTCTGTCTGCTGGGGCTGTTTTGGGAAAGAGCCGTGCATGAGAGATCAGGAGAGAAAGTGGGAACAGGTTTAGGGGTCTAGGCATACAAAGAGCGGAGGGAGAGACACCCACAAACCTGGGGGGCCCTGGCGTCCGAGGGGCCTGACATGCCCCCTATGCCCCGATGAAGAATCCACAGAGAGAGAGAGACAGACACGGTGAGGCTAAGTTTGTTCATCACGTAGCGAAGAAGTCAACCAAAAACATCGAACAACTTTCAGTGCGCTCCGAAGACAACCCTGGCACCGAAACTCTGGGCGAAGCATTGTTGATGCAGTTATGGTCTTTTTTCTGTATCCCTTCCTGAAACTCCCGAATACATAACGGAGCTTCTGCTCCTCTCCAGGTATGGTTCTTCGAGCAGGGCACCATGCCATGTCTGTCTCCGGATGGAAAGATCATTCTCGAGACTGAAGCTCAGCCTCGTTTCGAATCCTTCAAGTTGAGTGGTCTTTCTGTTATGGAATCCGTCAAATGAGGACCCTGCAGTCACGGGTCCACGTCAAGGGTTCATGTAAAGGCTGTTGAGGTTCCCGGTCCTTTGAGGCTCCCAAGTTTGTCACGCGTCTAGTTTGCTTTGACGGTGCCCATGGTTGAAGAACGCAAAGTGCCGGGGAGTGTCAGTATGCCTTCCACATGCATCGTCCATCGCAATCTTGAGAGGCAGAGGCGCTTCCTTAGGCTTGGAGACTCTTTTTGCCATAGTGTCATAGTGATGATTGCGAGCCCTGGCCTCTTGCTCACCCCATTGTGACAGATCAAGTCGGTTGTTAAATCATGCCTCCCGAAGTTAGTCTTAAAGCCCTCAACGCGAAGCTCTGCTGGTGCGAGTGCGCGATCCTGATATGTGCGCCGAGTGCGGTTTTGATGATTCAACTCTTGCCTGCCGGTTAGGGGCTCATTGGTCTGGTTGGGTGCATTGGCGTGCATGAACTGCCTGACTGCTCCGAGTGCGAGACCCCCAAATCCTAGACCCACGCTTTAAGGCTACGCCAAAACCCGAGACCCCCGAAACCCTATAATTAATCCGGAACCTCCTTCAACCCTTTCTCCTTTCCCCTCAACCTTCAACCCTAATCACCCTTAAGGCGATCCGTGCTGGCTCAGGTCGGCAGGCACGGTGGCCTCGAATCCTGATGGCAACGGTGGTCTTTATCCGGCCCGGTTCTGATGTATTTTTTCAGGACACACACATATATCATATATGTATATATAAGATATACGCATATACATACATCGCATGCATAGGCGTATTGGTACATAAATTCACAGTACATCACGGTACACACACGCCTAATGCATATACGTATATATATATATATATACACACATATATATATATATATATACATATATATATATATATATACACATATCAGCTATAGTAAGGCAGAAGCAGTCCCACAGCAGCTTCAAGAACTTTGGGTTTGGCATCGATTCTTTCAGCCCCGGCTTGCTTTCTCGTATCACGGTGCCAGGATGTTCGGTTGCAGGGTTTTGGGGCGCGTTGTTTTCGTGTTGGGTTTAATAAAGCCTTTGATGGTCCAGATAGAGGAAAATCGAAGCTAATGGATCTGAGCCTGCTTCAGGATGGATGTTCAGGCCTCGTATGCATCTAGACAACGCGCTCCTCTCCAAACGCCTGAACTTCATGCTGGCCTAAGTGTACATCACCGGATTCACTGCAAGCCTTTGAATCCGAACCCGGCAAGCTGTTCCACTGTTTCTGATCAAAGCAGCCTCCAACATGACATCTTCGTCGCGGACCCCCCGAAGGTCCGACCGACAAGAAGTTGAGTTCGCGACTAACCCCCCCTATGCCGGACACCGTTGCCCCTTGTGCCCCATAACCCGAATCCCTGAACCTGGCTATTCCTAGTCTTGCGATGTGCCCAAAAGAACCCTTGTAAATCCGAAGAAGGAACCTGCCCGAGACGGAAAAGGGCCGCTCAAAAGAAAGGAGCCCTGACATAGCAGGGCTCACCACGAAAAATGCTCAGCTCTCAGGCGCTCCAACGAAGCGGCTGCCTGGGTCGGCTCCAATCCCTCGGGGTCCGCTTGTCGGAATAGGGTTGGGGGCTTCAAAAGCTTTTGTCCGGAGGATATAAATCTGGCGTCTTGAGGAGTGAAGTCTCGAACTGTGGGCCAGTAAGCCTCAAAAGCCAGAACTTGCTCTCTTCAAGATGGTCTTGGCCCTTAAGCTCCAGGATTCGGCGGGTTCAGGCCGAGGTACAAGATGATTTAAGGATTCTGTAACGGTTTAACGGCTTAGTGTCAACGTTAAATTTCTGCCCATCGACTAGCCATGGGTTTACGACCAAATCGGATAACAGCGAGTGAGGGTGTAGCCTGTGGGCTGGAGCATGTTGCAAATTCGGGCACGGCTTCAGCACATGTGCCACAGGACAGTTGGCTGTGCTTCCCATGTGGGTTTTGCGAAGTTCTGGTTCTTGGCATTGACACTCTCGTATTTCTCAGCCTTACTACTTCATGATGGCGGAGGGCCGCTCATGATGGTCATGGTTGATGATGGTGGTGGTGGTGACTACACGAGTGCCAGTAGCGGTGCCAGTTGCTCTGTTTCTGCAATGATATGATTGCTGTAAGCGTCCAGTGGCAAAGTGCGGGCACAAGGTGAAGAGTTTGCATGTCTTCTCCGTGGACAATCCTCTGTGCCGGCCTGCCGACCCGTGCTTCGTCGGGTCAGAGCCCTGGACAATGCGTTTTGGAAAAGTCGGGGTCCCACATTGGGAGGTCCTTGTACACAATGTCCGTGCTCGTGTGTCTCAGAACTCTTCTGCATGATGTTCGTAGTAAGAGGAACGGTGGCAGGTCTCGGTTACTTTGCCGATGATCCTTTGCATTGCTCGATGCTACCACTATCATCATTGACATGACGAATGCCGCGAACAGTACCACACTAGGGTGGTCCGGCCCTTACACGGACGATCCAGAGAGCTACATCAAAATACGCGTTGTCAAAAGCTGCTAGAAGATCTAGAGAAATTGTAAAGACCGGCAGGGTATATGTAAACCTTGGAACAGGCATCAAGTTCTGGAAGGATTGGTCCGATAGCATCCCAAATACTCCATGGTCAGCAAGCATGACCTTTCTGTCCTGTTTCTGGAGGCATGTGACATTCAAGGACCTCTTCGGTTCCAAAGACAGCAGTGGACGCAACAGAGCTGAACCATCCAAAGTTGAGTAACTATACGTGACAGTGCACAATGCCTCTCAGAGCAACACTAACCTCCGAGCATCGGAAGTACTTCCAAGCATTGGCCCATGGCAGAGCCCAGTAGCCGGAAGCCGTTCGTAGCTTCACCGGCTGATGTCAAAGCTGCGGTGCAGATAGAGCTGGTCTCATCGGCCTACAGGGTCTTGAATGACTTGTCAGTTGCAGTTGAGGTGAGCCTTGAGGATTCCGATGAGTGGGAAGTGCTGTATCCCGCCTCCTGCATGGAGTTGGAGGCGTCCTCTGACCTCCTAGTGTCGGTTCGTCTGAAGGAGGAAGCGGAAATCAGCGGCGTTTGCAAAGCCGCAAGCTGGGAACATTGTGCACCTCAACGGATTTTGGACGTTTCTCTGCTGTGGCGGCCAAGTTCATCAAAGATGAAATAGCAGCAGCTCGAAAGGAGGCTGAACTGCGACTAAAACGTCAATGGGAGATGGACGACGCTTTGAACGAACATGTAAGCAGAGCCATGTTCCTACGACTGACAAACGAGGTTTTTTTCATATACACCATTGTCACTACGCTCCTAGCACTTATGCTTTGCTGTACAGTCTGGACCTTCCAAGAGGAGGACCAACTGGCGGCTGCAAGGCTCGGCCTTGCGGCGACACTGCAGTGCAGCCTGATCTGGGGGTCATTGGCTTGGGTATGGTTTATGTCAAGCAGCGGCACTTTGGAAAGCATCAGAGCTGCTCGGCCCGAGCTGGAGGAGTTCGACAACAACCTCCTGAGTGCAGAAGATAAGCGCTCGGTGCGACGTCGATTTGTACCGGTTTTCTTGGGCAGTTTGGTCATCAGCTTCAGCTTTATGGTGGCCATGACCGTGGCCTTTGGCATCGGGGGTTTCGGGTGGCAGATGGTATTCCTTTGGCCGTATCCGCTGTTTGGAATGTGCTTCTACCGCTGCCCACGTCTCTGTTGTGAAACGGACCATGTTCGAAGGCTCCGTCACCAAAAGTACTGTTGTGTGTTGTGGCCTTGGGTCCTGCTAGACTGCTGCGGATGCCACCGACTCGGCAGACTTATGGCTAAGTTGGGGCGGCCCAGGAGGCAAGCCCTTCAACGTGCCATCGATGACACGAACCAGAACACGATCCTGTTCAAGAGCAACGTGATCCCCGGCCGGAACACCGTGAGTTCCTGGCCAGGAAAGTATGAGTCAGCCTGGGACACCTTGGTGAAGCGTAGTCGCCAAGATGGCATGATCAGCGCAGCTGTGGTCTTCCTGCCTAAGGGTTCTGTGCACTTTGGTGTCCATGACAAAATACCGAAGAAGGATGCAGAGCTCTTGCCACCTCACCTCGCAGGAGGATGTTGGTGCACCCCATTGTATGGGGAAGAGAAACCGTGGGGCTGCCGCTGGTGGTCCCGACGGGTTGAGAACATTGAGTGCGCAGTCGAGCAGGGTGCGACCTTGGAAGTGTACTACTTTAACAAGATGGTAGGCAAAGGAAAAGTTCAGAGCTTTACCACAGCAGGTGTAGAACACCTGCGGCGAGAAGAAATTTTCAAGCGAAAATCTGAATTCAAAAAGTCAGAAACTTTTCTGAAAGCCTTAGCAGCAGGTGTTGAGAAGCTGTCCACGGACAAAGGGCCAGACTCATCTTCTCCTTACAGCCGTGAAAAGCATCGTCTCTTCCTGTCTTGGCTTCCGGAGCAGGATCGGAGATTCCTCGAAGAGTCCGAAGGTCTCGGAAACTCACAGAAAGCAGAGGTCGCCTGGCTGGAAAGGAACGGCTATCGCTACGTGGAAAAGGAGGTCGACGCGTTGGCCGAGTAGCCCAACAGGTCCAGCGACACTTGGGGCGTCAAGCAGCACTTGCAAGCAAGTGAAATCACCATAGCATGACAGTACGGGGTTCTGACTGCCGCTCACTATACACCGTACATCAGGATCTGTCGGCATGGCGCAGCCATATGAGATGATCTGAGATCAACTCGGGGGCTTGCAATCTTGTCAAGATGCAGCGAGTCTCCGGAAAAAGTCCCGAGCCCCCGGGTTTCGTCGATCTCTGCCGGCCCAAGTTGAGCCCGATGCAATGCAACTCCTCCGGTTCCCACGAGCCCTGCCGTGGTTTTCAGATCGCAATGCTTGTTGGATTCCCGTCTTCGGGGGCTTTCACGGTCGACTCAGTGTATGGACCATGGTAGTCCCTGGCCTAAACCCTTAAGCCCTGTAATCCCTTAAACTTGAATCCGTCGCAACGCCCCCTAAAGCCTTAAACTCTTCACCCTCACCCCTTAGCCATTGCAGCCCTAAGTCCTAGGCGCCCAGTCCCTTTGACTGCATCCGCACGTCCTAGGTACTGCCTCGCCCGGAACGCTGACTGTGGAAACAAATGTGCCCGGCTCTTGGATGCAGCGTTGGGTCTTTACGCAGTACCCGATCAGCAACGAAAGCGAAAGAAATGGCTAGAGCAGACTCCAAAGCAACGCTGAAACCAGCTGCGGATGGGCGAGTGAATCAGTTGCAGACTAGCCCAGAAAATCGTTAGTTGAGAGATGTATAACGCACGTGCAGTTGGGCGTCAGCGCTCCGAAACCCGGAGCCGCATCCCGAACCTGCCGTAGCTGCAAAGTCCGACGAGGTTTGGAAGGCAAGTCCGGAGGAGAAGGTTGGTGTCGTGGCCAAGAAGGGCGGGCGGCCGAGTGTGGTGGAGTATAGCACAACTGGCCTGTTTGAACCTGTATCTTCGACGGTTTCTTTACAGGAAAGGGTCGCGTGAGGCATTCGAAAGCACTTTACATGCATCGTGCATGGCAACATCGCTTCAGCTTCCACCGTGTTGCGCAGCTTTCCGAGTGAGGTGTTGAGTCTAAAGCGGTGGATTGGTGATTTCAGTAGTGGCTGCTTTGCAAGTTTTCTCCATCCCCTGTCCTCGAACCGCCTCATGTTGCGGCCCAGAAACGGCAGGTGAGCTGGACGATGCGCGCAAGAATCAGCTTGACGGTACTGGAAGATTGGCTTTCGGAGCTTCAAACTCAGCAGCGTGAACAGTATGTTTCGACTTGTATCGGGGTTCCTGCTTCCGGCGTTGGTCTCAACCCTGATTATCCCGGAAACATGAAGGCTCAAGCCATAGCTGCCAAGAAAGTATAAACTCTCACCTCAGAGTATTCTTGCGTCCCTGCTTGATCGTGGTCCGCGAGCCCAACCTGTTGATTGCCCATGTCCCGTAAAATGAAAGAACTGACGTTTTGCAGGGTCCTTATTCGGGTTGTAGACTCAGGTTCTACATCTGCCGACACTTCAAAAAATCCTCAGTGCGAGAGTCCGTCGGTGTTTCGCGTGCTTGTTTGTGACTCTTCCGCCATGCAACCCGGCAACTCGAGGCCGGGAATATCTGCAATCATTTCTTCTCGATGGACTTTTTGACGAATGCCGGGAACCCTGCATCTTCGCTCTCTTGTTCGGTCTAGGTCTAGAGTCTAGGGTTCAGGGGCATCTGGGATTTGCCGTAAATGCAAATTTCAACAATGCTTTCAACATTGCAAAGCTTGGGTTTAGGGTTCTGCACCGCTGTCTCAGTGAAGATCCGCACAACAACTCATGCACGTACTGCGCTCCAGTTCAGGCACGGCGGTGATGATTATGTATGGCTGTCTTACGTATATTCCTGCCCGGCGATCGCTTGTAACAGTTTCATGCGGCAGAACAAGGTCTTTCATTCCCAGACTCTTATGCAGTTCATGAACCTTAAACCCCAAGCCGTTGTTCTGCTGTCATTGACTTAGGTCGTTGTCCCGAACATGGCGGCCATGTTCCATCTCGCGCACAAGAAGAAGCTCGGCTGATCCAACTTTGCTGCCAGGTTTTAGTCAAAGCGGCTAGGCCCGGCTAGGTTTCGAATGTAATTGGCGGGAAACTTCTGGTTTGGTTGCGTTGCGCAAGGGCTGTGGCTTGTGTCTGGGGCTTCATGGTATAGGCAACGAGCATGCGCATTCATCCACGCAGATTCTTTCAAACACAGACTCCCTCATAACCCACTGTGACGTCTTTGGTGATCTTCCGGAGAACCTTCGATCCTCAACGCGAGGGCTGCCAGGTGTCGCCAAGCTTAGAGACCGTCTGGATCCTGAAGACTTTAGGCCTCACTCCGTCGAGTGCGAGTGCCAAAAAAATCAAGGCCCTAAAGCCTGCGCGTTGGTCCCGGCATTTTCGATGAAGATCCACGGATTGCCCAGACCCTCGCCAGTACTTGCGTGAGTGTCCACAGTATGAAACAACCTAATTCTACAGTACATGCTGGGGGAATCCTCGCCAAGGCTTGTCCGAGAGCGAGTGCTGAAACTCTACACCCTATAAGCCCCAACCCCAAGCTCTAAACCCGAAAATGTCAAGCGCTTGCTGCTAGGATTCCCTGCGCCGGGGAAGATGGCAAGACCATGAAGCCGGACAGCAACAATGGCATGGGACCCCGGATTAGGAGTGCCGGGTGCCATTCTATTTTGGTGACCTGGCACGGGACCCTAACTCAGAGAACCACCCAATATGGGTTCTAAAAGGTTTCTGGGGGTTCAGTGCTGCGGGATTTTGCCACGGTGCAGCTATGCAGTTGGGAAGCATTTTGCGCCCTTTGTTCAAGTTGTTTGGTCTAAGTCAGAGTGTGAAACCGTCCAGGATTCAAGATTCCTGTTGAGACTTTGGAGTTTGTTTGTACAGCGTTTACGAGCCAGATGCACAATACAGGGGCCCCGGTTCAACGCGCTTCGCAATCACCTTCAGGGGGAGTCGCATAGCTGTCCAGGAACAGGTCTCACCTCCTGAAGAATTGCAATGGGTTCAAGTGAGATGAAGGTGCGTACTGCTCTGCTAAGGTTCAATATGGTTCAGTTATGTAGGTCTAGGTGTTTAGGGTGTTCAGTTCGCACTTCGAGTTCGGTATTTATGGTGAGGTTTACGGCTTAGGGCTTCGGGTTTGCAGGGTGTGTTGTCAATCACAGCTACATGGCAGTTTCGGCCTTACCCCCTCCTTTCGAATAGCTCGCAATTTGCATCTGTGATTTTTTGCGAGTTGTAGTCGTAGTAATTGGCTTCGTTGCTTGGGCCATGGGTGTAGCGGGTAGCGCTGAAATAAGGTGATCGACCCGAACCCTTCAACCCCACGTACTAAAGCCTACAACCCCTGGCTTAGATTTAAATTCGTTGCCCGACACGTCAAGAACAGGCCCTTGAACAGAGTGTGCCTCTCTGAGGCCTGAAACTGGAGGCATTTGTCTTCGACGTGTTTCCAATGAGCAGCAAGATGGTTGGGATCCCAGCATGTCGGTTTTGGGGGTTTGGCAAGATTCGTTTCATGGGGTCTCGGAGGGATGGAAGGTTTTCAACATGTATTTAGAGTTCAGGGTTCTGCCGCTTACCAAGCAGCTCGGGCATGCCTTGCTGCTAGCGGTTGAGGGCTCAGGGTGTAGTTGGGGGCACATGATCCTGACTCCTCATCACCACTACCTTCATCATCGACATCGTTGTCCGCAGCGTCCTCCTCCTTCTCCACCTTCTTATCATTACTGTCATCACCATCATCAGCATGATCATTATTCATAGTCGTCTCAACCGTGAATTTCCGTTTCATCCGCGTGGGAGCCATGATGACCACTGCAGTCAACGTATCAGCATCGCCAGCCAGCTTCATCGCACATCAAGCATGAGCAACATGACCTGTATTGAACCAGGCGATCTTGGAGACCAAGCGGGAGGAGGAGTTTGCTCCGGTAAAAAATGCCCCGGGAACTCCCAGCGACAGCCGGGGCCTTGATCTCCAAGGGCTTCAAACCGCTCCCATCTCCGAAGCCCCAGGACCTGAACCTGGCACCTTCAACAACTCAAGGACAGGACGAAAACGCCTAAATCCTGAGCCCTGAATCTCCAGCCTCCCTCCACCCTTCCCCTGTTCCCTGGAAGCGCGATTTGCTTCGGTTCCCTTCGGTGCTGCCCGCCCTTCGGTTCGGCATGGTACTCTTTACGGGAAAGTGCTGTTGAAACTCCTGTGTAAAAGGTCCGGACAGCGCCCGCGCCATGGTCAGCGCGCTGTGCCGCAGTTGGATAGAGCAGGCAGGGTCTAGGTTTTGTTCAGTCTGTTGTGTGGGATGAGGGTTCTATGTTCAGGATTGGCATCATCTGCTTAAGTACAAAACCCCTTGTGCAAGTGCAGTCTGGGAGCTCGGGCTACGCTTTGTGAGTTCTGGCTCGAACAACAGAAGCTACAACGTCTTCACTGAAAATCCCTGCATGTTCTCTGTTCTCTTGCTTCTTTTCCGGGAACACCAAAATCGAACGGATAACCACTCAAATGACAGGGGAAATTGATTAACACAGCCCTGACAGTGCTGAACCTGTTTTGTTGGGCCACTCAAGCGGTGCGCATCTCCAGAGATGCAAAAAGAACCCCTAACCCTCAAGCCTCCCTTCGATGGGCCGAGCAACACAAAGCCTTTCCGATTTTGAGGGCTTTACAGCACGCCGGACCAAAGTAATGCGAGAGCCTTCCTCAAGCCCTGACTCTTGTTAAAGGCCGGTGGAAAGCTGGAGGGCAACAAGGACGAGATTGTCGAGGCTTTGCATGGGGTTGATGCGGTTCGCATGAAATTATGCCAGAATGCCAGAATGTACCCCCAAGCCAATTCTCTGTTAGAAAGTAGGGCTTGGGGATTTAAGGGTCTTAGCATGTATGAGGCTTTGCACCTTAGGTTTGGGAGTGAGAAAGGCGTTCTGGGAGCCCGGCACGGCATGCACTCCGGTCCGATGAATGCAATTGGCACTAGGGCCTAGGGTTCGAAATCGTTGCATCCAGCTATAGTCCCCATATACTTGTACTTTGTATGATAAACCAACACCCAATTCGGATTCTTAAGGCCCCTTTATGAAAGGTCATCGATCCTGAGCTCCAAACCGATATAGAGCCTGCTATCCTTTCGTTGGGGATCCCTGTATCGGATGCACCACGGCACCAACGTCGCTCTAGCCCCAGCACAGACATTGGCATCGCAATTCGGGCCCCACTCCTGAACCGTAAAACATCCGAGACCCTTCGTCCTGACCGTATGTAAAACCCTGAATGCGCAATGAAGCGTATACCTCCCCAAGCCCCTTCGACCATAAGCAAAGCCCTCAAAAGCTGGCTCATACCTAGCGCCGACGCCACTTGTAGTCTCCAGCTAGGCAAACTCGATTTTGTGCTGGTGTCATTTAGCGGCTTAAGAAAGGGGCCATGGAAGCTGAAGCAGTAAATTTGCAGTCTTCAGCAGCATCCAGGTTTCGCCCTTGCTGTCTTATGCGGGGGAGGGCCCTGATCTCAGCGTCTTGAGGGTTTAGAAGTTTAGGGCTTGGAGTTGTGTTTGGATTCAGGGCTTGGGGTGTAGAGTTCTTGTTTGGGGCTTTGGCATTGTTTGTTGAGGATCTGGGGTTCAGCTCTGGCTTCGTGTCGGCCGCTCCGGCCGTTTCTGTGGAGCGTACTTGCTATGTTTGGGGTGTGAGGAGGCCAAAAGCCGCGAAGCAAAAACAAAACAGCAGAACGTGCGAAGACCCAAGTGCAAGGATGCTTCTTCTTCGCACATGCAAGCTTACCCACGAGGGGCCTAATCGTGCCTCAGAGTTCGGTGCTGATTTTATTGTAAGCAAACGCGAACATCAGGTCAGAACGACTGCAATGACGGCTAGTTTACGTTGCCACCACCATCGTCATCATCATCATCATCTCCATCATCATCAGCGTCTTCATCGTCCAGTGCTAAATGGCACCTCCAATTTCACCAGCTACCCATGCAATTGTAAGGTAATGAGCGCATGGCGCCATCAGACCCCGGTCCTGCATCTTCAACGCCCAGGTTTGAAGAAGTCGGGGTCGGGGTCACCCCAAACCCCGAACCTTAGCCCGGAGAGCATGAGCCCTCGAGGCTAGGCGAAGTACGTACACCCTAAGTTGAAGCCGCTCAAAGCCTGAGTCCTGCACCAACAATCACGACAAAATGCTCCAGACCCTACATCTCATGTCAGAGGTCTCCTCCCCATCTAGTGCAGTCTCACCCAACAGACCTCGAACTTACAGTTTTGGGGTCGGAATGCATACCCACACTATTCCTTACAGTTCCTGCCTATAGTGCTACCCGAAATCGAGCGCTTGCGTATGTAGATTGGCCCAAAGAAGTCGCGACAGTCACTGGGCTCCACCAGGTTTGGCGGACCGTGTGAGTGGCCAGACTTTTCCGGTGCCGTGCCACTTGGAGTGAGCTTCGATGGGGGACCTCACCCTACCAGTCATAAACCATGTAAGCCCTGCAAGCCTTGTAGAATCCTTGTAAACTCCTACCAACCCTATAAACCCCTTTTGTATACACCCCCATAAACCATAGATACCTCTATAAACCAGGCACTCGACCTACCTCGACATTACTTAGGAGTCCCTTTTTGTTGCACGTTAAACCCAAAGGGCTTCTTCAACAAGTCCTTCCATTCATACTGTATAGTATAGCTGCAATCAAGGGGTGGGTAAAGCAGGACTTTGGTTTTGGGTCCAAAGGGGCTTCTGCCCAAAGCCAAAAGCCCTTAGCCTTGTAGATTGCATTCAGAGACTCCCCTCCGAGCACCGTATCAGTTTTCAGTTTCACCTCTTGCGGAGGAGTAGAATTGCAGCAGCGCGCTTGCATATCAAGTTCAAGAAAATTGAACATCGGCGGGTGGATTTCAAGAGTACGGCAGCCCGACATGGAAGTCGTGGTTCTGACATCATCAGGATGGCCATTGCGTTGATACAGCTTGAAGCCAGCGGCAAGTTCAGTCGCAACATAGCACAAGCATACCCACAAACTAAATCCTGGCAGTATCCGCAGCGGTGACGATGGTTAACTCTAGTTGCAACTTCAACTGTACCAATATTTAATTCTAGGAGAAAGCTCTCGTAGCTGGACGTGATGATACCAACGTGGCCGCTTCCTGTTGGCGTACAAGCAAGTACCACTGGAGTCACGATCATCAGCACGACCTCTTGCCACCCGCATAGCCAGTGGCATGACGGTGGACGCGGCATGATAATGAAGCATGATCATGGTCTTTGCAAAGGCTACCAACATCTCCATCATTATCATCACAATCATCATCACCACCACCACCGTCACCATTATCTTCAGCATCAACTAGGCATCAGCAATCAGGAGCAGGGACATACGACCGATGAACCACGGCGCAAGCATCAGTCCAAACATTCGCTTTGCTTCGTCTTCTTCCGAACTGTTGCTCCTGCAGTTTAGGATTTGGGGTTTAGGCTTTGCGTTTCGGAAGCCTAAACGAGAGACACAGAGAGACAGAGAGCGAGAGAGAGAGGGGCTTTCAGGGATCATAACGATTCCCGGGTTGCTGCCTCAGCACGGCTTAAAAAGGCTTTCTGGGGCGAGTTTAGCTAAACCTTTCTGAGGGAGACAGAGAGAGAGAGAGAGAGAGAGAGAGAGAGAGAGAGAGAGAGAGAGAGAGAGAGAGAGAGAGAGAGAGAGAGAGAGAGAGAGAGAAAAAAGAGAGAGACACAGAGAGCTTCACTCGCGATTCAGTAGACCGAAGATGGCTTGGGTTTAGGATGTTCATATCACTTGTAGCTTCATCATTGAGCCGGTATCTATCCAGTCGCAAGACTAAGAAGGAAAATATCGGTCCTTCGAGCTTCTCTCCACCGGAACTCTACCTCTAACAAGGACCCCTAATCGAAGCAGGCCCCTCATGCAGGGCTGTGGCTGCGGCTGGCAGGCTCCCTGCTCATGTCCTAATCTGTAAGTTTCATGTCAATCAGACCTCAACCGTTCTAAGATAGAAGCCTTAATAAGTAAGATTGGTCATACGTACTATTCCATTACATCCCGTATGGTCCTACTGGTACAATTGGCCCAAGAGCCCCATTGTGTAATTCTTGCGGCCCCTATATCATCCCTGGCCTGTTTAACAGCAACACCGTCTAAGATAGGCAATAGAGCTTCATGTGTTCAGGGTTTAAGTTTCCATTCCCGGGCCTTCGAGCTTTACACAGGCCTTTTATCCAATGCCAAAAGAAGTATGTGGGGTCCTTGTAGAGATGAGTGCGGGCCTCAGCCCAAGATGTTGGGACCCAGGGTCGTTATCGAAATTTCGGGTTTGCCGAACTAAAGGTTTTGGTAACCCAGGCCTGAATCAAGGGTTCTGAAAGGGCTACTTTGAAGTTCTATACCGCTTCCTCAAGAGTTCTACAAGGGCTCTGGGTCTTAATGCAGTGGCCCAACAGTTAGTCATAGCATTGCTTGTGGGTTCCGTATTGCATAATTACACTGTCAGATACTCCAAAGAATTAGTTTAATCATTGAGGCCCCGACGCTATCTTTGTCCAGGATCCAGGCATTTGCTCTTGTGTAATCTAGCAATGCAGTTGTTCCCAGGCTGTCAGCCCAAGATGCCTTAACTGGAGATGCAGCTGTAGGCGAGTCCGTAAAAACGTTTATATACATTGGCATACACATACATACACACACACATAAATAAATACATATACATATATATATATACATATATATGTATAATATACACTTATATACATACATAATACATACATACACAAATCGTATACAAACAAACACAGACAGCCTGGCAGGCAGGCAGACAGACAGACAGACGCGGGCAGGCAGGCAGTCAGGCAGACACACACACACACACACACACATGCACACATGTACACAAGTCTGCATGATACATACCTTCAGTGTACATATGTGCATGTTTGTGGGTGGTTGTCAAAAGTATGGTCCCTTGTTGGGTCCTTATTATAATACGGCACCTAATATTTAGGGTGCCCAAGAAGGGGCCACAATCTTGACAACTACCTTTCTGTGTGTGTATATATATATACACACATGTGCGTGTATACATATATGCCCTACAGAGATATGTGTGCATGTACGCACACCTCTTTCGAAGGATTGATCCACCCTGCATCCGAGTACCCAGGCTCCGCCCAAACCAAGGCCGACCCCGAAATCCTTAAAACGCGCTACTCTACCCCCTCCATGCTTCAAAGGGTGGTTCAAGGCTTGAAGCTATGGTAGCCCAAGTGCGGAAGCTGCGAAATTACAAGTCAGTGAACAAAAGTTTCTATTCGCCCGTCGTGTCGCAGGTTTTTTTACCCCCCTCCCAACCCTGAAGCCAAAAGCTAAGTCCAGGGCCCGAAGTCCCACAACGCCTGAAGTCATTCCCGGCACTGGCCCACCATCCTTCGTAGGATTTTCAAGAGCGGCTTGGGATTTCTTCAGTGGTCCGTAACGTTAAATTCTAGTATAGGGTTTGAAATGAGAACCCTTTGGTCTTGTCAGGCTCAAGGTGGCTGCCCAGGCACGACCGCCGCGACCTGTGTTGGGGATCCTGTTGTCAGAGGTCCTTGTAGAACGTAAGGATGGTGTTCGCTTGCCACAGAGCGGGGTTTCTCAAGAACACCCTCAGGCCGAAGGAAAGAAGGAAGGGGTCATAGGTCTTGCAGGGTAATCGTTCGAGCCTTGAGCCGCGAACCTTTCACCCCAAAACCCGAACCCGTTGACCTTGGATCGTGTGAAGCCTTGCCTGCCCAGTGCGGGTTGTGAGAGTCGAAAATTCGTTAACTCCTAAACCCTCTTGACATCTTAAATCGGAAAATTATGGAACTGTAATCCTTAGACCCTCTGAACTATAGATTGTGAGCACCGAAACCCTTTAAACCTTAACTAAGCCCATGGGAACCCTTAGCCGGTCGAATGTTTACAGCTTCGGTGTTTGGAGTTTACACGGGCCCCAATGGGCGGGAGTTATTGCTAATTCCTCATCCGTCTTTGCTTTGCTCTGCCCACCTCCCTGTTGCAGGGAGCTAATGCCGCCCCGTTAAGTGAGGAAGGTTCCGTATAAGCCTTCAACTCAACCCTAAACCCTGTAGGAGTACTGCGCTTTCTGATAGAAGGAAATCAGTTACGCCTGCAAGCCTGACTGCCACCTCGTAACGGATGTGGACTACCCAAGTTGGTGAAAATATTTGCACCCAGCTTGCGCTGCAGGGAACCCTGATCCCAAGCCCGGAACCTTGCGAAACGGAGTCTGAGCCAAAACCCTTAAAGCTTGATAAGAGGGACCCCGATGCCAGGCTGTTCAGCACCAGGGCTTGCCAGCAACCAGAATGTGTGCCCTGCCCAGTTGGTGTTCCATGGCTTTCGGGTTTAGAGGATTTTGGGATTTAAGCCGGCAGTCGCAATAGGCCTGGATGCACAGGGGTTCAAGGTACAGGCTGCGCTGCCCTCGTGCTTGGCAGAGGTTTTTGCAGAGTGCAGTGCTTTTCGCTACCTTCCCTGTCCTTGCTCAGACTGGGGGTAGCGGCGGTCATTCGTCCTCTCCGCCATGTAAGGTTGAATCAGCTGCAGCAGCTGCAGAGTGGAGGACAGCATGACTGCATGTCCAGACAGTTACAGATGGTTAAGGCCTGCATTGCTCATTGTCCCCGTCACCAGCCCCTCGGAGATTTCTGTAAAACACATGCTAAAATGCGCTCCGCAGGGAAACTCCCTTTTGACTCTTTTGAGCTGTTGTCGTGAAGTTGACATTTTAACATATGTTTGACGGGTTGTTAAATCTACGCAGGCGATAGCTACTCATGCACTGAAGTGGCTGCCTCACACTGATGTTACGCTCAACTGCACAAATCTGTACTTGCGGCGTGCATGCAAGCAGTTGCACATGTCTATTCGCTTGGAACTGGCGCTGTAGACGTATGCTGAATTGCTGAAAGACGTGTCTGCCAAATCGCTGGCCCCTGCGGATGTTCGACAACTTCTGAGGAGAAAAGATACAACTCGCAATGTTGGTTTGGAGTTCTTTGGCATTCTCAAGTGCGAGTCCGACATTCCCAAGTTCTAAGAAGCAGTTGCTATCGTAGCTTCATCTCGAACAAGTTTGCTGTCGCGACAGCTGTGGCGACTAGATGACAACAAATTTGCATCGCTGCTGGTTGTTGATGATGTCAAATTCAAAGATTCAGTGTGTAATTTGTGAAGATTTGTGCGATTCCTGCAAGGGAGACTTGATCTGTACCTGGTGCACCTGTTCGAACACAGATGCATCCGTCCATTAAACCGTCGTGGTCTGAAAGTCTTGGGCCAATGTCGCAGAGGCGATAAAGCTTCCAATGGTCCAGGTCTAAGGTATCTGACGGGACAGATGTGGTAACTGATTCGGCAGGAGCAACAGTAGCGCATCACAACTACAC